ATGGACACTTTGCAGAGGCTGGGGGACCTCTTCTGGGTAGCCAAGGAGCAGCCCAGGCATTACGGCTTATGTGGACCAGCCTCTCAGACCAGGCAGCCATCACCCACATGGAGGCTGTTACGATAATGGCCCCCAGGAAAGCCAGAGCTGGAGCAGAGCTCACCATCCTCACTCCTGGGTAAACCATTCAAAGCCCCATGCTCCTCCTGCCTGCCATGGGGGCTATGGTGCTACCCTCATATGCAATATGCAAACTGTCCCACCGTCTCCTTTGGGGGAAAGTCAGCCTCCACCTCTTCTTCTTTCCTCCCCTACTGTGGGCCGCACTAAACCCCCACCCTGAGACTCTTCAGAGGGCACTCCCTCTCTCAACATGGGTTATCATTGATATTTTAGGCAGACTCTGAGGAAGTAAGTTGGCCAAAGTCCTCACTACGACGGAGTGAGAGATCCAGGGACAGCAGATAGGACGAGCCAGTCCTGCAAGCCTCCCCACCTGAGACAGCCACATGAGCACTCAGGCCAACAAAGCTCTCATGGAGTCCTTTCCACATCCAGCCAATGGAGTTTGGAGGCACACTCCCTGGGGGCTCCTTTCAAAAGGCTAACCTCCTGGTGACATGCCTATTCCATCCTCAGAAGCCCAGCTGAGAGGGACAGAAGGAAGCAGAGAGGAAGGCAGACAGTGTGTCCGACACCATAGAAGCTTCAGGAAGCAGAGAGCCTTAATTATGTCCTCAGCTAAGTTTCAGCTCCTGCAAAGTTTATGCTGCAATTTGACCCTCTCTTTCTGATCATCTCCCCACCTTTCCTGGACTTCTTTCTCTTTAGCCTCCTGAAAACTCTAACATACTTGAAAGTTTGAGCTCATGGAGACACCTGCTGAACCTGAAGGGAGAATTGCTCCCTTGACTTGGGAGCGCGCAAAAGACCTGGCATCTTGCCCTGAACATGCACACTGGACCCCATGCGTCCATTCCCTGCTGCTGGTGCTTCCTTCGTGGAGACTGGGAGCTGTGGCCATCGTTAGGAGGGACATACCTGGGAGGGCCACAGGAGTAAAGACGGACATGCCTGAGCCAATGCCTGACTTCAATTCCCAATTTCCTTCTGAGGTGACACCTTGGCCAACAAGCACCCAGCTACCAGTGGGAAGCAGCAGCTCTGTGCGCCAAAGAGGAATCTTATGAAGCATTTAAATCTGGCCTTAGAATGCAGGATAAAAATCAGGCCTTCTAAAAAATTGTTGCTTGCTTGTGTGGCATTAGGTTCCCATCCTCAATCGTGTTTTTCATAAGCTGAATTAGCGAGCGTTTCCTCAAGGCGCAGCAAATTGGATGGGAGGCAGGGCATCCAGGTAGAGACCCGGCGAAGGAGAGGAGCATGCCTGGGATTGGACCCCCATAAAGGGGACTCAGGAGTTGACCCCACTGGGCTTATGCCCAAGAGCAAGTCAGATGCACAAGCAAGGAAAGGGGGCTCATTTTAAGAGACAAGTCTTAAAATGAGTGTGGTCTCGACTTTCTCTGACCTGCCCCTGACAAAGCCAGTGGTCATGGAAGGGCAGTGAGGTCTGAGGACTGACAGAATGTTGGGGGCATCTTCACTCCGGTTTTGGGCTCAGGACCCTGCAGTTTCTTGAGCCATCACTGCTTTCAAGAGAATGGAGCTGAATCTAGAGATCCCAGGGGTTGGGAGTAGGGGAGCCTGGGCAAGGGGGTTGTCTATGTGGACTTGCTCCAAAGGCTAGGGGATGGCAAGGAGGTGTGTGTTAATAGGCTGCTGGCTGTCCCAGGTCCTTCCATACCCACATTTCTGGTGGGAGGAAGGTGAATAAGGAGAAGCCCTATGAGACTCCCAGTCTTAATCCGAGATCTGCTTTAACAATGGTGGCTCATCTTTTTGCTTTAAACCTCAGGGGCGTTACTTCTCTGAAATCTGGAAGTGGGAGAAAGAGAAGAGGGTAGAAGAAGAGGCTTCTTGAAGGCTATTGGGGGAGTACAGATGCAGGCTAGGGAAAGGTGGTGAAATCTCATCTTTTGTTTGTGCCTACTGATTTAGAGCTTTGGGGGCAGAGAGATAGAGCTGAGTATAGGTGTACCCTCCATGTGAATTATGTGTGTATGTGCTTGGGTGTGTGTGCTGTATGTTGTGTGCCTCATATGAGTAAATGCATTGTGTGTATAAACTGAGTTTGTGTGTATTTGGTGGGCAGAAACAATATAAAATATCCTTGGTGTACTGTGTATACATACCCATTGTGTTCATGTGGTTTTTATGCATTTTGCATCTGAGTTGTGGTTGTGTTCTTGTATGTGATATGCGTAGATCTTCTGTGTTATGTTCTGTATTGGTAAGTATGTTCTAGGTCTGTGGTGAATATGCCTATTTTGGAGACAGCTGTAGTTACATATCATCTGTGTATGCCCTTTTCAGTAATTGACCTCTGTGCATTTTGTATTAGTGTGCGGCAACAGTGTATCTATTTTGCAGTGGGTGTGTATGCATTGTGCCTGCACCTGTGGATATTTTATAGTTCCCCCCTGCCCCCGCCCCGTCAAGACCAACCGGATAGGAGATCTCCTCGCTGACCGAGGCCTTGGGTATGGGTTGTTTTACCATCTGTTTCCCAGGGTCTGCGCCCTTCCCACCCCATGTCTTGGAAATTCAGCACCACCTCCCATGAAGGAGAGGAAGAGAAGCATAGAGGCTTCACGCTGGGCATGGGGCGTCCTGCAGATCCCTGGGGATGTGGGTGACCAGGAACTAATGAGCACCCTGGGCCTAGCACCCTGAGCTGGTGCCCCACCCCCAAGGTAACTGTAGGAGCTAAACAGCCAACAGTGAGGCTAGGGCTGGAGCCGAGGCTGGGCGACCTGACCACACAACTCACTGTGTTTGGGAAATACAAGCTATTATGTCAAAAGGTGAGGAAGCCCAGTCTGGAAGGCGGAAGCTTCCCCACCTCAACCCATTCCAGGGCCAGCCTGAACTCCACCCTTAGGCAAAGTGCTCATTCCCTCTCAATCTGTCCCAGGGCACGGAATGATTATTTAAGCAGCTCTGGTTGCCAGTGCAATGGGGAGAGAGTTTGAGCTGGGCCATTGAAATGATGCCCGTGGATCATCTAGTGTCTCCATCCCTTGGCCAGGGACTTCTGGAGTTTCCACACTGAGGAAGCTCCCTTCAAGTCTAGACCTGTGGCACTGGGTCCCTGGTTTCAAGAAGGAGATCCATTCTGGCTCTTTATGGAAAGGGTCATTAAAGTGACTGATGCAGAGCCAAATGACAAGAAAAACTGAAGAGGGTGGGCAAAGATGAGAAGGGAGATGATGGAACATGATGGGCTGTAGAGAAGAGGCCTGGGGTGGGTGTGGCCCAGGGCAGCTGGAGCCGTGAGGGCCATGGGCCCTTGTGTACTCGGTGAGACAAGCTTCAGCCATGGAGAACTGAAGCTGCAGCACATGGAGGGCAGAGAGACAATTCTAACATCTAAGAATCCATGAAGACTGGAGTGTCTGAGGCAATGGCAGCAAACCCAGTCCCAGTGGGGTTATCAATGAGACAAACCAACCCATTAGGCCGCTCAGACAACCAACCCACCAAGCAGTGGATTTGCTCCTGAACCTGAACTCCAGAGAATGAATATGTGTGTGTGTGTGTGTGTGTGTGTGTGCATATATACATACACACACATATGTATGTATGTATATAATACATAATATATACATACATACGCTAGTGCACATAGTCAAACACATGCATAAATTGCCCTGTGTCAGAAATATTGCATAAGCTTATACAAGGTTCAAATGCAATTTCTTCTATAGCTAGCTAGGTAGAGGAACTCGTGAAAGAGATACTCATATATTTATATACACTGGATCCACAAATTCGCCTGTCCTCGGGACCAGGTGCCCTGGTCAGCTATAGAGTCATGCCCATGACTAAGTTCAATCGTAAGGTACAGTTATGTGAGGTGTTTGGGGCACTGCTTTCCCTGCTCCCTTTCCAGGCTTTGCAAAAGGTCTGTGCCCCGACGTAGAAGAAGGGGGATGGGGTCGGCTGGAGAGCCGGAAGTCGTGGTTCCCCATTCCAAATAGTCTCTTCTTCTTCTTCTTCTTTTTTTTTTCCCCTGACTGAGGGCTTTTGTCCTCTGATGGGGAAAAAAAAAACAAAAAAAAAAAAAAAAAACAAAACCAAAACAAACCCCTAGCTCCGTGCCACTCCGGGGCTATTGATACTCTAACTATGAATACTGTGTAGGCTACTAGGAAAATAGGTTATCTCCTGTGTTTTAACTACTGAGATTCATGCAACACACACCCATGCAGCTCTATCGCATCACTGGAAACTGCGCTGTGGTGTCAGGGCCACCAGCACCGCGCTAGGAAAGCAGGTGTCTGCGAACTCCAGCGTAACGCAGAAATCGGGCGTGTTTTGTGACTCCGAAGCCTGCAAAAATGGTGAGGTCCGAAGCTGAGAGGTCCCTTGGTCCATTAGCTTCTCCCCATCGGCCTAAGGGTGAACGTGCAACTGGACAACTTGCCTTTGGTCATCCTGACTGTCCCTCCCCCTGGGGTTCCCCCACATCCACACTGCAGAGAAAAACCAAAAGCAGACTTTTCCGTTATGAAACACAAGCCTCCGGAGCACCCATTGGGCAACTGTAATTCACAAACCCCAGCCCGTGACACAGAAAGTAATTCTAATATGCAAGACTGTGTGTTCTTTTCAATGCAAAAATGGGAAATGACCTTTTGAATAACTTCTGGTGCTTTCAAGCTAAGCCACCACAGTTTTCCTCTGTGAAGGGGGAGGTGGGCTCATATGGGACCAGGGGCTTGGGGGCCCGGAGGCTCGGGAGGGGTGGGGTGCGTCTCCCCGGGTATTGTGCGCGTTTAATTCGGGAGGGAAGATGGTACAGATGGGGCGGGTTATGTATTTGATAAGAGGTGGCCCCAATGTGTCTTTCTGAAATTCTGGCTCCATAGGTGACTCCCCTGTTTAGAACCCCCTAGGCCAGTGATGAAGATTTGCATGAAAGCCAGGGATAGATATTCTGTGTTCTAAATCAAAAATCAAAAGATCAAAAGTCACTTGCACTATTTGCTTTCCATGCAGAACCAGATACACACTGTAGAACACACTGACTACAATGCAGGCTATTTATGCAGTATCTGCAGTATTCCATGGAGCTGCGGGTAGGTTAATAGGTTTCAATCAGACATCAGTTAACATTTTGGTAATATTCACATAGTTTGTATTAGCCAAAGTGCAGTTGGCCGTTTTCAAGTTTTCCTCTCTAAAGTCCTCGTTACTATTGTTTACCCCCTCCTGGATCTCCATGTAATCGGACTTACTAATGGTAGAGGCACTTCTACTTTTCTTCAGGTCAGGGGAGGATGGGATCTTTGGACAGCTCGTCACTTGCAGGTACTGGGCCTGCTCCTCTCCCTCTGTCTCCCGGTGGTAGAAGTAGTTGAAGTTGGACACTATGACGGGGACCGGTAAGGCAATGGTTAACACACCTGCGATTGCACAGAGGGAACCCACGATCTTTCCCCCAATGGTAGTTGGAACCATGTCTCCATAGCCTACAGTTGTCATGGAGACGACTGCCCACCAGAAGGCATCCGGGATGCTGGGGAACTGGGACTCTCGCTCATCGGCCTCTGCGAAATAGACAGCACTAGAGAAAAGGATGACCCCGATGAAGAGGAAGAATATCAGGAGGCCCAATTCTCTCATGCTGGCTTTGAGGGTCTGACCTAGAATCTGGAGACCTTTGGAGTGTCTAGACAACTTGAAAATCCTAAAGACTCTTACCAACCGGATGACACGGAGAATGGCCAGCGACATGGCCTGCTGGCCCTGCTGGGCATCCTCTGGCTTCTCAGCCAGCTCCGTCCCCAGGGTGATGAAGTAGGGGATGATGGCCACGATGTCAATGATGTTCATGATGTTGGTGAAGAAGCCGGCTTTGCTGGGACAGGCAAAGAACCTCACCAAGAATTCGAACGAGAACCAGATGATGCAGAGGGTCTCTACGATGAAGAAAGGGTCAGTGAAGGAAGTCGACTGCTGGTAGCCGATCGTGCTGTTGGAGTAGGTGTGGAAGGTCATCCCACTGCCGTGCATGTCCTCGTTCTCATCCCGGAAGATGGGCAGGGTCTCCAGGCAGAAGCTGACGATCGAGATCAGGATCACCATGACAGATACAATAGCAATAATCCTGGCAGGCCCTGAGCTCTCTGGGTATTCAAAGAGAAGCCACACCTGCCTCTGAAACTCATTTTCGGGCAGAGGACGCTCTTCCTCTTTGATGTAGCCTTCGTCTTCCCGAAACATCTCCATCGCTTCTTCTCCCAGCTCATAGAACCGAATTTCTTCGGAGAAGATGTCCAAGGGCACGTTCACGGGCCGCCTCAAGCGGCCCCCAGACTGGTAGTAGTACAAAATAGCGTCAAAGCTGGGCCGGTTCCGGTCAAAAAAGTACTCGTTTCGGAGGGGGTCAAAGTACCTCATCCGCTTCTTTGGGTCCCCTAAGAGGGTCTCTGGAAACTGAGCTAAGGTCTTGAGTTGGGTCTCAAAGCGCAGCCCCGAGATGTTGATGACCACTCTCTCACAGCACTCGTGGTCGGCCTCGGGGTCGTACGTGTCCTGCGGGGGCCCGGGGAGGGCGGCAGCCTCATCCGCTGGCTCTCCGGTGGCCACTGTCATAATTGGGGCTGAGAGAAGGGCCTCACACTATGCCTTCCAGCTGCCTGGTGGCAGGGAGCTCAGGGTGCTGCTTCCGGCCCCAGGAAACACAGAAGCATTGGCCTGGGGTCCTGCAGGAGAGCCCCGAGGGCTCGCTGAGGACCAGAGACACAGCCTCCCTCGGCTGAAAGACAGAGGCAGTTAAGGCCGTGAGACCACTCAGCACTGGCAGCCCGACCTGGGTTGCTGCTCCTTGTCTCCTATCTTTGAGCCAAGAGCTCAGAAACATCACCACCACCACCACCACCACCACCACCACTAAAAAGCAAAACTTACCTTCACTTTGTAACCTGGCTGGGGATCAGAGGCAAGCAGGTGGCAGTCTCTCAAGAACGGTCCAGATTGCCCTGTGCTGGGGGAAGGTGGCTGGTACAGGCCCCCTCTGCACCACACGGGCTTCAAGGAGCAGCACAGCCCCATACTAGAGGCTGAAAGGGAGCCCTCTCCCAGGCACTGAACTAATGTCTTGCAAATACCTGCCCCCAGGGAGGTATTCACAGTGGTGGATCTTGGGCTTGGGTCTCCCTCACTGCCCCCACTCCAGTGACTCGACATATGGCTGTTATTAAAAATAGATTGATTTACCTGGCAAGGCAGGAACCTGAAGCTCTCTTCCTGGAAGAGCTGATCAGATACCGTGGGAATCCTAGATACACAAATAGGCAGCCCGATACACAAATCACGTCTTCTCACTTGAGCGAGAAATAATGGTGAGTCATTCTGGGCAGGAGGGCAGGCTCCAGGTCCTGGAGGTGAGCTCCAGAACTGCGCTGGCCTGGAGGGGCAGTGGAGGGTCTGGCCAGGGGAACGTGGGGCTGGAGGACGCAGAACTTGGGTCTGGAGCCTTTGGAAGGAAGGTGGCAAGATGCGAAGTCCTCCTGGCTGTCCTCAGGTGTGACCTTGCCTGGAAAAAACAGCAGCAAGGTGGAACCAGGGCTTTTGGGTGGCAGGTGCCAAGATTTAGGAGGGCTCTGGCGGCTTTCCTTCCATGCCCACCTTCCATGCTGGTGTCACACCTGAGGACTACCCCTCAGCCTCCCTGCCTCCTCTGGGCAGGCTTCCAACAGCTGGAAGCTTTTTCTCCCAGGGAAGGAGCCTTCAGGCCGGGCTGGGCCCGCCTCCTCGGGGGCCTGCCAGGGCTGAGCCAGATCTCCCTCGGTCCTCAACAGCCATCAGGAGGGACTCTGGGCAAAGCCCTCCAGCCCCCAGGTCAGGACGCTGCAACTCCCAAGGGGAGGGCTTCCTCCACTGCAGCCCGACTCTAAGCTCTGACCCCGGCAAGGTCCCGGAGGAGGAAGAACGCCTTCCCCCCTGCCCCCCCCACAACCTCCCCGACGCATACGCCTTCAGAGCCCATCTAGGGAGACTCCTCACACAGAAAGGTCGACTCTCCAAAAGCTGGCTGGCTTGCTCCCAAGACTTACTCTCCCTCGGGGATCCCTGGGGTGGAGACTTCCCTCTGAGCAGGGTGGCATGTGATTTGGGCAGGCGCTCGACCACCGATTTCTCCCCCAAGAGAAAAGCCCTCACATCTCCTCGGCAGGGAGCGCAGAACGAACGCCCGGCCAGCCTGGCTGCCAGGCGGCTTGGCAGCAGCGAGAGGGGGAGCCTGGAGGAAGCCGGCTTCCGGGCTGGCCCCCTGCCGGCCCAATCCCGCCGGCCCCGGGGCGGGGAGGGGTCCGGGCCCTCTCCCCATCGCCCCGACTCCGGCCGGGATTCCGCCAGGCGCGCTCCGCGCTCGGTTCCGCGCCGGCGGACCAGACCCACCAGCAGCTGGCCGCCGCGGCAAGCGCCGCCTTAACCCCTTCCTGCCCGGCCGCTGCGGGCCCGAGCGCAACCCGGTTCTCTCGCCCCTGGGGTCCATCTCCACCCGAAAACCCGGGAGCCCGAACTCTGGGGGGTGGGGAGGAGGGTGCTGCCCCCGGAGCTCCGCTTCCTCCTAAGCGCGGGGGCTCCGCCGCAGCGCACGGCCCCGGGGAAGCGGAAAAGCCCCGCTCAGCCGCAAAGCCGTTTTCGTTCGGAGCCGGAGAGGGGAATGCAGGCCGGCGTCCCAAGTGATTCGGGTCCTACCAACCGGCGCTATTCACCAGACCCGGTTCTGCCCGTCAGCTGCACTTCCCATCACCCGCCAGCGCCTCGCTGCGCCCTCCGCCCGCGCCGTGCGCAGCCCAAGGGTCCCGAGCCCATTCCGTGCCCTCTCCTTACGCAGGGCGCCAGCCCCCCTCGCCCGGCCCGGACTCAGCCCTAGTCCGCCGCGCTGCAGGCTGCGCCGCCCGGTGCCCCGCAGCCCCTCCGCGCGCCGCAGCCCGGGCAGGGGAAGCGGCACGCGCAGCCCCTACGCGCCGACACCGATTTACCCTTCCCGCTGGGCACCCGGGGCCTCCATGTTCCTGGGTGACCGCGAGCGCCGGCGGAACGGCGGCTGCGGGCGGCGGCAGTAGGGGTGCAGGCGGCCAGCCGGGAGCCGGCTCTGCAGTCCCGCGGGCGGCGCGTACGGAGCGCCCGGCCGCCGCCCGCAGCCGCACCGCGCCGCACCGCGCCACGCAGCGCCGCACCTGGCCCGGCTGCGAACTCGAATTAAAGGGGCCGGCGGGGACCAGAGCCGAGCAGGTGGCCGCTGAGTTGGCCCCCCGGGGATCGGCCCCCACCCTACGAGGAGAACACCCATGCTGTGGCAGAGCCCAGCTTACTAACCAGAACCTCGTGGAGAACTCAGCTGGGTGCCGCCGGGGCCGGGGAACCGGGGACAGAAGTTGAGGGGCGGTCATGAGAGGCTCCTGCCAACATAATGAAGTAGGCGAGGAGGAAACAATCGATAGCAGCTATCCCAGGCCCGATGAGGGATCCAACCCCGCGGGAAATGTGTTGCTATTATGATGATGCTGCCAGACAGAATCTGCAGACCCCCTCTCGCGCCGGCTCGCCCTCTCCTCCAGCTCTGCCTCCCCAGCTCTCTCTCCCCAGCCAAAGCCCTGGCTTCGCAAGGGAGTGCAGCAGGTACGGCCCGCAGTGTGGCTGAAACTCGCTGCTAGGTTTCCTGCCAATGAGCCCCAGGAACGGGCAGAACTGCAGAGCCGGCCCTCTTGGCTCCCGCCCCCCAGGGCCGGGCAGGGAGGGCTCCGGCCCTGCAGTAGCCCCAGGCCTGCTACTCACAAAACCGGTCTCCTCACAGACCTTAACGGAGCCTACTGGCCCACCGGGCTGGGAAATTGGGACGGTAGCTCTTGGTGCCCTTGCACCCAGGGACCGGGGGCGGGCAGAGGAGGATGCCCTTTGCTTTTGGAAGTAAGTGTATGGGAAGCCCAGCCTGCCCTCTGCTCAGGTGGTGGATCTGAGAGGGTCCAGGGTGCTCTTGGGAGCCACGTGACAGCCCCATGCCCCTGGGAGTTCTGGTCTCAGTTCCAAACAGTGATTCCTTGAGCCCAGAGTGCCCCAGACACAGAGCCTAGGTGCAGAGGGGCTCCAGTCCCAGGGAGGCTCCTGCTGGGCCCTCCTTGCTGAGAGTCTTCCTCTCTAGGCCTGTAGCTTGTGATGGAAGTTCTGAGGGCCTACAAGGTCCGGCTCTGTGGAATTCCAGCATTTCGTCAGGGTAGTCTGCTAGGTATGGTTTAAGACTGGGGGCCTAGCCAGAGCGGTCCAGGAGGGCAATGACCTTAGTGAGCTCTAAGGATGATAGATGACTATAAAGCAGGACTGGTTTGGTCTGGAGCTTCTAGAAGCTAGCCTCTCAGTGTCCCAGCCTGAGCGTGGCCTGGGTGTTTTGGAGCCAGCCAGGCTGGGACTGAAATCCCTGCCAGGTGCTAGGTGAATGAATTCAGGTCTCTGGACCTCAGTGTCCTCATCAGCAAAATGAGGGCTGTTGCAATGGTTAAGTTGTTCATGGGAAGAGTTTAGCCCCCAGCAGACACTCCACAAATGATGGTTTCTCCACTGGCTTCCCTGTGAAAGTCTCCATGACTTTCTCCACGACTTTCCCAGCCTTGAGCTTAGCTTGTGGCTGCTTCTCTAAGAGCCCGATCAGCAGGTTTGGCTGGCCCATTCTCTCTGCCTCCCAGTATACCCCACTCCTCAATTGCCCTGAGGTTTCAGCCATTCCTACGCCTTCAGCAAACTGTCCCCCAGTCCCTGCTCCACACTCCTTCTGGAAGCCTCTCCTGCCCAGCGCTGCAAGGCTCTGTTTCTCCTTCTGGCTACATCGGGTCCTCCTGTCAATGGAAGCACAACGGACATCCATTTGATAACACCTCTACGTTTTCCTTGCCCTCCTTTGTTAAAATGAAAGCCGTGGACTGAGAAAAGCTCTTGGGGGAGAATGAATAATCGTGCTAATTGGTAACGTGTGCCTACCATGTGCTAAGTAACCCCAGCGCAGCGGGAGGCTGGATCCTCACAGCTCTGTGAGCTAGTTTTTATATAGGTACCGTTTCAGGTGAAAGGAAACTGAGGCAGAGACAGGGGAAGGAATCAGCCTGAGGTCACTAAGCGGTGGCTCTGAGACACGAATCAGGTGTCTATGACTCTAGGACAGACACCCTTGGCTCCCACACCACCCTGCTCGGGTTCAGCGAGCAGCCCTCCAATTTCATTTCCGTCTTTGGGATCTTCCTCCGACCCCTGGCTCCTGTCCCATCTGATTGGCCTCAAGGGTATGTCATCCTCCTTCCCCCCTTTAAAGCCTGATCTGAGTGTCAATGACTGGAGAGAAATTAAGAAAAGAAGGAAAGAAAGAAAAAGAAACATAACACCGTTGTCCTAGGGCTCAGGGTGTGGGTCCCGCCCTGAGAAGTCTGTCTTGGTTTGGCCGTGCTGTGTGAGAAAAAGAACATGGACCCAATTCCCACCTCTGACACTTGCTAGCTGTGTAAACTTGGCCAAGTTATTTAAACCCTCGGAGCCTCAGTTTCTAATTCGGTGCATGGGACAGCGGAACTCCTCACAGGGTGATCAGGATTAAATGAGTTATAGTGGACAGCCAGTTAGCTTAACCTAGCTAGCTGTTTCATCACGGTTAGCTCTCTCCAGCCCTAAAGAGGTCACCAGTTCTTATTTTTGGCCACAAAAGAACAGCAGGAGTGCCCTCTTGATCCCTCCCTGGGGGCGGATCAAACCCCTAATGGCCACTCCTTTGCCCTTCAGTCAGGTTTCCTGCTTGGGGGCCGTGCCTTGCCTTCCTTGGAGTGAGCTGCCAGTGATCTGAAGTTGTTGCTTCCTGAGCTCTGTGACTACAGTCACTGAAAGGAAGAGTTTATGACAGGGTGCGTCCATGCCCCCCCGCAACTTCCAGCCCCCAACACACACACACACACACACACACACACACACACACACACACACACAGAGGCACTGCAGGTACAAGAGGGAGGGTCTCTTTATTTTTGCCACCACAATTCATGAGCACAGAGGACTCCAGCAGGTGTCACTCCCAGAGCAGTGGCTCTCCTTCCTTTCGTGACTGTCACCTCCGCAGATGCTTGGTCCCCCACCAACCCGCTGGGCCCACTGTGGCAGCACTGCCCCCCCTGATCCACAGGAAGCAGGTCAGGGAGGCATGGAATGTGGGTCCAAGCACCGGCTGACAGCTGTCCATAGGTCGTTTGATGGAATCCCTGGCACCACCTCGGGGGAAAGATGCCATGATCTCTATTTTATAGATGAAGATACTCACAGAGGACAAGTCGCTGTCCAGGGTAATTTAGCTGGTAAGTGGTGAGGCTGGGATGGAACTCAAGAAGTCTGACTCTACAAATCACTGTTCCATTCTGCTGCCCACTTCGACCGGTAGCCGGGTGCCAGCCCTCTGGGCTCGCTTCCTGGTCTTAGGATCATGGCTTCAGTCCAGCGGACCTTCCAGACCTGTAGGGCGTGCTGTCGAGTTTGCCCAACCTGATGGGAGGTCTTGTTTTAGAAGCTGGGTGGTGGTGGAGTCAAGGCAGTGGCACAAGACTCGGGACCTGGAAGTCTCCACCCTGTGCCCCTGCCTGGAGCAGCTCTACTGATGCTTGTCACATCTGCAGGGCCCGGGGCTGAGCATCCCTCCCCCTGGGGCTTTCGTCTAGGCATGCAGAGCTGTGTGACCCAAAGTCACTCGCTCAAACTTTCTGTGCCTCGGTCTATTTGTAAAATGGGAAGGATAGCATTTGTCCCCTGGCTCCCCTTGCTTCGTAGAGTTTAAAGAGAGTGGAAGGAAGGAAGGAAGGGAAGAGGAAGGAAACTAACATTCACTATTAGTGTGTATTAAAATCTCATCTGTTAGCATTGAAGAGGAGAGTTCATGTGAATACACTTGGAAAAGTGGGAAGCCTGGTCAGTGAGGAAGAGTGTGACCTTTTGTTGCTGCTGTCATGATTGTGCCCTGCCAGTGTGCATCATGTCTGATGTCCAAGGACTTCCCCTGGAAGTGGAATGAGCATCATCCCAGCCCCCTACTTACCTGAGGGCTGCCTCCTGCAGGAAGCCTTCCGAGATTAACTCCTGCTGCCTCCAAGGAACTCCTCTGTGGAGGTCTGGGCCTTGGCTCCTGTACTGCAAGCCTTGGCCAAAAAAAAAAAAAAAAAAAAAACAAAAAGAGGGCATTAAGGAATGATTGAAGGGGGTGGACTTTTCCTTCCCTTTTGGAGCCACTATTCTGGGTCAGGCACCATGCTGGTGGTCTCACCCTCTTGCCCGTGCTGATAACAGCCAAAGGTAGAATGGACCAGCGCTTGAAGTACAACCCCTGGTGCCGGTGGGTCTAGGGCCCACCCCCAAGCCTGCCATGTTTTAGCTCCAGGACTCAGTTCCCTACCGTAAACTCTCATTGGGTGGCTGGGATGTAAAGCATCTAGAACAGGGCTTATGCCATAGCACACGCTGAGTGTTGCTTTCGGCAGACCATCCTTGGCATTGTCGCCACGTTTTCTTTTAGGAATGAAAGTGGAGAGGTTCATGGTGGGCTGTGACAGGGACGCCTTTGGTATTCCAAACCACATCCCCTAGATCACCTGTAATTTCAGCTGCCTGTGGAGGGCAGTTCCGAGCACGCTGGCGGTGTCCCCTTCAATCACTGTGTCTCTTGGCTTTTCTGACTCAGGACTCTTTCTGAAGCTGTGGTGGCTTGCTCAGGCTGCCTGCAGTGGCCTGGATATTGGCGGGGTGGGGGTGGGGGTGCATCTCTGAATGTCCCAGCCTGCCAACTGTAAGAGGGACGATTCATACTGTACAGCTGGCTCGTTGGACGGCTCCCATCTGTACGGAGCCCCGGTGGCTCAGAGGTAATCAGCTCAATCACGTGAGCCAGCTGGCCTGGGTCAGGTCAAGGTCCCGAGCAAAGGTTTCCCAGCTCCTTGCACTTATGTTCCAGGCAGCTGAGCTGGCTCCCGGCCCTGCCCACGGCTGGCTCCCTGGGTGCTCTGTCTTCAGCTCAGGCCTGTCTCCAGAGCTGCAGGCTCATCAGCCTCACTTCCCAGGACTGCGTCTCCCTAATATTCCCCTGGTTGGGAGAAAGACCACCTTTTCCCCTGTTGCCGAAACCAGAAACTCGGGAGCCCTATCAGCTCTCTTTGCTTCCCCGACCCCAACATTCCTTGCACTCAGTCCATCCCTTGGCCTTGGCAACTGTTCACTTCTCTCTGATTCCCTCTCCCTCCCCTGCTACCCTGGTTTCAGCCGCCCGCAGGTGGGGTCTGAGCCACTTATGTTCAGACTAGCTCCCCCTGGTCCTTTCTCCCCATGGTTGCCATAGTGATCTTCCTAAAGTGTAAATCCAATCATGCCACTTACTTCTTAAGTCCTCCTTGGCTCCCTATTGCTGTGACCCAGACTACATGTTCTAAAAGGCAAGCAGAGCCCTTCATGATCTGGTGTTCCCCCCACCCCCACGTTGTCCCCCTCTTAAAAGCCCTGATGGCTCTACCTGGCTTCAAACAGACATATCAAATCAAGTCCTAAAGTCAGACAGACCTGGGGTTGAGTCCTGGCTCTGCGCTTGCCCCTCACGTGACCTCAAGGTGGGGTATTTTTCCTCTCCGAGCTCCAGTCTGTAAAATGGGACTAATGCCTAGCGCTTGTTCTGAGGACCAAATCAGACAATGTGCACAGAGACTTTATCTCAGTGCTTCACCTGCAGGATAGGCTCAAGAAATAGGAACTTCCAAAGGGTTCCAGGTCTTTCTGCTTTGGCTAGCAGCCTCTCACCCAGAACACCCTGGTTCCCCTACCCTCCATCACCCCAATGACTACTTTTTAAAAGACTTATTTATTTATTTGAGAGAGAGAGAACATGAGGGGGTGGGGAGGGAGGAGGGGCAGAGGGGGAGGGAAAGAGAATTCTCAAGCAGACTCCCTGCTGAGCGTGGAGCTCAATCTCAAGACCCTAAGATCATAATCTGAGCTGAAATCAAGAGACAGTCCCCCAACCGACCGAGCGCCCCAGGCGCCCCCCAGTGACTCCTTTTCTAATATTTAACTCATGTCACATCCTCCATGAAGCCTTTCCGGACCCTCTCCCTGGTCTCCACCCATCAATACAAGGCCTGCACGCTGCCCAGGGCACAGACCCATCATACTGAATTCTGGGGGCCCGTCTCTATCCCCCCACTATCTTCCACTGGGCAGGAAGCCTCCTGAGGGCAGATGCCTGTGTCTTCTGCCTGCATCTGTGTGTCTGGTCCAGGCCAGGCATAGAGCAATGGCCCCAGCAGTGTTTGTGAACCAGTGAATGTTGGCAGATGCACCGACTCTGCTGCACCCCGCAGCTTAACAATCCCCTCTGCCCTTTAGCTCCCAGACGGGGCATCTCTGGAAGGCCCCTGCTTCTGAAGAACCCGTTCTCTTGGGACACTGCTGGGGTAATTGCTCTTGGGGCCTTGCCGTTCTCTGAAAATGACTCTAACTTTCAAGTGGGCCTCACGCTGAGGTCCCCAGAGAAGAGCCTTTTGACCCAGGTGTGGCCCGATCAGCCCAGAGCGGTGGGGGGTGGGGAGAGCTGGGGTGGGGGTTAGCACTGCTTTTGTCACACAAACGCAGCCTGGCACACACTGACTCCTTAGTGTCCACGTTCCGTGGCTGGTTCGTCTGGGCCTGACTGTTACTCTGACCTCTGAATCTGAGGGTCCAGAAAGGCTTCATGGAGGATGTGACATGAGTTAAATATTAGAAAAGGAGTCACTGGGGGGGGGGGGCCTGGGTGGCTTGGTCGGTTGGGGGGCTGACTCTTGATTTCAGCGCAGGTCATGATCTTAGGGTCTTGAGATTGAGCTCCACGCTCAGCAGGGAGTCTGCTTGAGAATTCTCTTTCCCTCCCCCTCTCCCGCTCCTATGTCCTTCTCACCTCTGTACTGCCTTAGTCCATGGACCAGGAGAATAGAGCAGACAAGCGAGAAGCCACTTAACAGGGAAAATCCACCAGCCTGGCAGTTGCAGCCCTAGCTTTGCCATTACCTGGGTGACCTTGGGTTTGTGACCTTGGGTACATCAATTCCCTTCTTTGAGCGTCAGCCTCCTCATCTGTAAAATGGGAAAGCTGGACAACATGATATATATGACCCCCTTCTTGAGCTAGGACTAGTTCTTCGATCTCATCCCAGCTAAGGAACGGAAGCCCCGTGTAAACAAATGTACATATCTCATTAACTAGTATCATAAGTGCTCCTAGGATAACTATTTTTGCTGAGAGGACATCGAGGCTCAGAGAGGCATGTGACTTGTTCAAGGTCACAATGTTCATTCTAGATAGGATTCACGCCCAGGCCCCTCTGACCCCCAAGTCAGCAGCCCCCATCACGTCTCACTGCCTGCTTAAAAAGGGAGAAAGGAATTTTGGAGATGCTAAATCACTTTGGAATGAGTCCTGAAAAAATTCAAAACAGTGCTAACCTGACGCTCAGCGCATCTTAATGATGTTCTCTGAATCCAAGAAGGGTCATTACAAGGGGAACTCAGGGATTCTTCAGCTCTGAAGCCCTACGGAGAGAAAATGGGCCGACCCTGCAGCGAGAGAAATGGGGGATAACGAAAGGCCCTATGGGACATTTGACAGACCAAGAGACCCAAGGAAATCATAAAGAACAAAGCAGGGGCCTGACTGCCACACAGTCAGGTGTGGCCTTCCCCCTAAAGCTAAGGAGGTAGAGTCAGGGGAGTGAAAGATTGGAGAGGAGAGTATCAGGTGGCAAATATGTGTTTGTTAAATGGAATGAGCTCTGGTCTGGAGAGGCAGCAGGGCCTTGTCCAGGGAGCTCAGATCTGAGGTTCTGGATGACTCAGCCTCTCTGCCCTGGCTTTGAATTTAGGGACAAGGGAAAACAGAGAACGGAGGAGATGGAGACATCTTGGCAACTTTCCTGGTGTTGCAGAGCCAGGATGCACCCGGAAAAATGAAGGGAAGTGGACAAAGGCCTAGGGAGGCAAGGGATGACTAGACAGAGGGACAGGGAGTTGGAAACGGTGTTTTCCCCCCGCCCCTGCAAACTCCCAGCCCCGGCTTGGCTTGCCTTCTGGTCTCCGGAAATTCCGGGATCATGCAACAGTGCCACTCAGTGGCCACGTGGGAGAGGTGCAGAAAGATGCCCAGGAAAGCCGAAATTAGACGGGAGAAAGGAAAAGTACTAAGGCTCCCAGAAAAATAGAAAGCTCTGTGTTTCTTCCTCCCTTGAGGATGTGGCACAGGACTCCCCACAGGTCTCTAGTTCTAGGCAGAGCTGTTCTGTAATGGTCCACACACCCCAAAGGACTTCCTCTTTTCTCTCAACTCTGGCACTTAGAAGCTGCTGGGTTAAGCCAGCGCTCCCCTAATCCAGAGGTCCCCAGGCCCCGCTGGGCATGGACCTGAAGATACAGGGGTGTCTGCAGCCCCTCCCCCAGGCCCCCCTTTCTCGGGTGATGAGGGGATGAGAATGGAGCTGCCAGCTGGCCCTTCCCCTGGGTTGATATGGTCATGGTCAAGGTCATGGTTGTAGTGAGGTTAGCACGATGGGTCTCTGGGGCAGCAGTGGAGGGGGCTGGAAGTCACTTCACAATGGACTGCATACCATTTCTCTTCCAGCTGCACCTTCTCTGTGGTTCATGAGCTTTTAGGAAAGAAGCAGAGCTCTTCCTCTAAGAAAGGTGGGACCCCAGAGTTAGATCGTAAAGAAGGTGGCATGGTTCCTAAGAAAAACACAATAGGACCTCACTGAAACCCTTCTGCCCAGGATTATGTTAACTATAATATCTAACAGAGCTGGGTACTATTTTCATTCTCATTCTACAAACACAGAAACTGAAGCTTAGTGAGGTTGAGTTACTGGCGGGCGGCCACATAACCAGTAAACAGGTACGAGAGACAGGAGATGGTCTATGGTCTGTCTGACTCACTAGCCCCAGCTCTAAACCAGGCACGAGCTCCAGCACCACGGGGGAACACTTGACTTGCAGGCTTGACTTGTAGGAGGTGCTCAACAAACATTAGTGAAAGTAGATCCTTCAAGTTGTCAGCAAATGACTCTGACTCAGGGCAGAATGAATTGGCTTCAATTGAAGAATAAAGTACGACAGTGCCTAAGACAAGGCAAGCCCTCATAAAAGATGGGGTATTGGAGAGGTGTCCTTATGAAGAATGTCCAAAGGCCTTGAAGGGGTGTTGAGGCGAGGGTTGGGGCTTTCTGCATGGGGACGTCTGCACACCTCACCCCTGCATTCACTCCCTGCAGAAACGCTCTCCGGGCCAGCCTGACTCAAACAGGAACCCCTACCCTGCCCCTTATCATGCTGTATTTCTCTTCAGAGCATTTATCTGTACCTGTCAATTAGCTATTTACACATCCATTTACTGTCTTATTCCCTGCTGCTAGAATACAAATTCCATGAAGAGGGATTTTGAGGATTTTGCTCTTTCTTGTATGCCCAGGGCTTGGGATGCTGAGGCTCATCAATACATCTTTGTTAAATAAATGCCTAAATGGATGAGTAGATTCCAGAATAAGGAGACAAGGGGGTTAGAATACGGAAGCAGTGTTGCCTGTCCCAGGAATACCGGGTCGTACAGCAGGCCTGGAGGGAGCCGCGTGGAAGGACATGGGGAGACAGGAAAGGTCATTGGGGAAGATTGGGGAAGGCTTCGAATGCCATGCTGAGGAGTTTGATTCATCTTGTCCTATAGATGAGAGTGAACTTTTGAGGGTTTTGTGTAGGAGAGTGACAGGATCCAGCTAGATTTCAGAAAGATAACTTAGGAATGTAATATAATTCGTAATGAAATTTGTCATGAAGATGTAGTGTGGGGGCTGATCTGAGAGCAAAAGCAGGAACCCAGTGAGGAGGAGGTGTTGACAGGGAGGAAGGGCGACAGGGAGGAAGGGACTGAGCGGTGGTCAGGGTAGTAAAGAGAAAAGATCAGCAGGGAGCCACTGCGGGGGAGGGAGAGCGGCGAGGCTTTTGGCCAAGCGAGGGTCTCAGAACAGTGGCACGTGTGTGTGCCCCTGCACGTGTGAGCTCAAGTGGGTGTTGGGGGATGGAGCCCATGGCAAGGGGCGGTCTGGCAGACATGGGCGTTGCAGGGCTGCTATGGCTGGCCGGTCCTTGGCAACTAGGCAGGCTACAATGCTGGCCTGATGCTCAGGGGAGAGGCCAGGGGCTGGGGATGGTGTATTTGGAGCTGGGGCGAGGGGAGATTGAGATCCTCCAGGATGAGAGTGTAGATGGAATGAGAAGAGAAGAACACCCACATTATGGGCAAAGGAAGAGAGAGGAGGGGGAGGAGCCCGTGGAGTCATGGTCAGAGGGGCAGGGGGAAGGCCTGAGAGCCATTACCCAGACAGCTAGGTCTGGGCTGGGGCCTCCCTGACACGCTCACCTCCCCCACGGACACGACTTCCATGGCATCTGAGCCCTGTGGCCCTCTCCTTGGTTCCCACACAGAAGCGTAGGACATAGCAGGGTCTGACACCAACGGGGCCCTAGGTCGGGTCAGTGTTTGTACCACATTAGGGCCGACGCTTCTACTTCAGGAGGAAGCAATCATTTATTAGTAGTAGCCCTATCTTTCCCACTCGTCTGTTTGGAAGAGCGGACTGCAGTCTAGAGATGGGACCCAGTGTCCAGATGTGGGTTGGGAGGAAGGGGGGGCCGGAGGAGTTTTGAACAGGGTTTGTGACCTGGAAATACCTGAGCTCATAATGCACAAGGGGGGGGGTGGGCAGTGCTGGGCACGGTACATTCAAGGAGACGTGGTGGCCGCCTCCTTCCTATGGCTCGCTGACTGGCAGGGGAGACAGACTTGCAGACCTCAGGAGATGGGTGCAAAGATGCCATGGGAGCCCGACTCCCTCTGCCAGGTGGCCGTGGTGGTGGAGAACAGAGAGGACTCGGACTTGGCCTTGGAACGTATGGTCCCGCCTGCTCCCTGCTGGGGTCCACGGGTCCACACTCCCATAGTAGGATGGGCTCAGCGACATGAAGAGAGACCTGCCAGCTTGCATAAAAGTGTTTTCTCATCTTCTAATTATTTTTTGGAGGGTCTGAGGAGCCCAGAATCTCAAGGTTTACTCTGACTTTGCCATTTAGTTGAGGCGTGGCCCTGGAAGATCAGCGATGCCCTTTGGTCTTTCTGTTTGGAATAACTGCTCTGGGTGGACTTTCCTTCTGGGAGGTGGAATGGAGGAGGTGTGGCCCTCCAATGGGAAAGAGACCCAGGGGGGTTTATGAAAGAGACATAACGAGAGGAGGAAAAGGATAGAGAGCCCTGCTCGGGTGCACTTGACCTCATTACCTAGATTTCCAACAGGCAACTCAAACTTGGCATGTCCCAAACAGAATTCTCCTTTCTGCTCCTTTGCCCCCAAACCTGACCCTCCCCCATTGTCATTACCATTGCTCACTCAGTTGTTCAGGCCCAAACCCTGGAGACAGCCTTTTACTAAGCCATCAGCGAATCCTATTGTCTCTACCTTCAAAATGTATTCAGACTCTGATGTCTCGGCTTCTCCAAGGAGCGAGGCAGGTACCAGATACTTCCATCTCTCACCTGGGCTCTCAACAGATCTCTCTGCTTCTATCTGTGCTTTTGCAGAGAAGCCAGAGTGAATTTTTAAAAAATGTAAATGAGGTTGTGTCATGCCTTTGTTCACAATCCAATGGTTGTTTACTGGCCTTAGAACTAAACCTACAGCTCTTCTGTGGCCTGGAAGGCTCTGCACCATCTGTGCCCTGGATACCTTTCTGACCTCATTTCCAACCACCTCCCGTGTGCACTTGGCTGGGCCAGCTGCCTCTTTGCCTATCCCCAACCCCAGCAAGCATATCCCTGTTGCAGCGCCTGTGTATTGGCTGTCCCCACTCCCTGGAAGACTCTTACCCCAAACCTTCTCAGGACTTGCTTCTTTTATGGGGTCTCTGCTTACATGTGATTTCCTAGGAGGAGCCTGGCACATATTGAAGGTATAAATGAATGAATGAATGAATGAATGAATGATAATACCTGTATTAGCCCAGTGCCTGGCACATAGGAAGGGCTTAATAACTGGCATGGAATAATAGCCTGGCCTAAGCTCTCTTGTCTTGGCTGTGAAATCTGCTCCCACCCCCAGCGGTTCCACTGGACCTACACAGAGGTGGAAAATCAGCTCTGCAGAAAGGACCAGATGCATGTACTGTGCATAGCCACTAGAGGGCGCCACACGCAGCGTCAACTGCACACTGCGGCACAGGCTGCGTCTGCCGCCGCCTGGGGACGTTAGAGGCACCCTGCCCAACCCCCCAGGCTCCCCCAAAACGGGAGAAATGGGAGGTAGACATTCTGAACCAGCACCTGGCTCCCTGCATACCTGCTAGCCAAGGGCTTCTTAAAAAAAGGCAGGTGAGATTTTGAAGGTTAAAAATATTCCCCCCCCCAACTCGTTTATTTTATTTGTTTTGAATCAAGATTTCTTTTATTGGCAAGTGGTTTACCATGGTTACCTTTAGGGGTGAGGTTTATGATGGGAAGGAGTCCCGACGGGACTTTTGGGTTTTCTTCCACTTATTTATCAAACTCCAAACCCCAACACCTCCAGTTACCTGAGGTCCTGTTACTGCCATCAATCCTCCCACTCCCCACTCTGCAAATAATGTCCAGAAACTGGAGCTGTAGTGTAGTTAAGTAACACAAACCCCTCTGCCGGACAAGCCCATTTAAGCACCCACTCGTCCAAGAGCAGCATTCCCAGCCTTTCCAGGCTGACTTGGGTCTAGCGCCCTAGGAGGCCACTGTTTTTGTCTGCTCATCTCCCATAGCAAGTGCTGCTCTGAACTGTAATTGTGTGACTTTCCCGAGAGGGGAGGGAGAGAGAGGTTAAGCACTCACTTGGTGAGCACTCAGGGCCAGGAGGCTATCAGACTTCTTGGCCCCCAGACAAAATTTGACATCTCTAGCATCGCGACTCACAACCTGTCCTCATACTTACCGTCTCTCCTCCGGACCCCTCCCTTCCCCTCTGGGTGAATCCTGTGCAGGCAGGTGAGCACTCAGTACAGCGGTGTCTTAGAGGTACCTCCCCACTTCTTGGGCACATCCAGCATGCTGGAAACCCACTGCTCACTTCCCCCAACCCCATCCCCGGTCCTCAGGTGCGTTTTGGCACACTGGGATTGGTGGAATGTCTTCCTGACGGTAAGCAAATTCCCTCTCCCAAGCACAGCTGCCCATGATCTCGCCTGTCTGTCCCACTGCTACTTCTCAGGGGCCGAAACTTGTGTCATTGAGAATGGGGTCTTTACTTAGCAGAGGGCCAGAGAGTGGTGGGAGTGGGCAGGCATGACAGGGCAGGGAGTGAGGTGGTGAACTGTTGGCCTCGCCAAACAACATCCTGAGGTGAAGATGTGCGTGGGAGTCGAATAGGGGATCAGGGCCAAGTAACACCTGAAGTGGGCTTAGTCAGGCTCCCAGGTACTCCCAGCCTTTATAGCTCTGCTTTTTGGTCATTCCCACTGAAAACTTCTTTTAAAATATCCTCCCCACCCACCCCCAGGAACCCCATGTGTGGGATCATTTTGCCTGCAAAACAAACTGCTTTTATTATGTAATGATGAGTGTGCCTATCCACTGTAAGCAATGTGAACATTTATAACAACCAACATAGCTTCTGGCTAGCATGAGAGGCTGCTGACTGCCTCGCTCAAGTGTGAGAATTCAGCCCAAAGTAAAGCCACTTGACATTCTGTTTTGCCTGGGCAGCCTTGTTACAAGTAAAGGTGTGACTTTTCCTCAGGGTTTTTGAAATTCTAAAATAACTAGAGTGCTGCAGTATTATCCCCTCGGACACCAAGTCTCTAGAGATTCCTGATTGTGGACCCTGGATTTAGCATCTGGACAATTTTTGTCCTTCAAAGTCCTACTCCTTAGAATGCTGTTCTTTGGTGGATGAATAATGGTACATTAGCTAATTTTGCACAAGCTTCCATAAAAAAGTGAATTAGTGGACTAATTTTAACTCTAGCCCTCCCAGGTAGCATAATGCTTTAGCTCAATAAAATACGAGTGTCTTTGGAACATAAAAGTCTAAGTCCATTAAAAACAACAACTGGTAAGATTTCCAGCTATGGCAAATCCTCTCATCCAAAAATAATGTTAAACTGGACAAAATTGTCAAAAATAATCATTTCAGGGCTCTGAAAGTTGATCAAATACAAAATAACACACTGAAAAATGTTTATTCATAAAAAATTGTTGAGCTCCTAGTCAGAACAATGGGAGTCTGTGGTGTTCTTGTTCAGATCTGCCCTCCTACCTCCAAGCTTGGGAGAGGCAGAGCTACCAGGGTGTGGCTGGCTATGAAAACCAACAGTATCATTGCTGGAGGAGGCTCTCTTGATTTGGAGGGGAGAGCAAAAGTCCCATGTTCAGCGGAGTTTTCAGTAAAAGTAGCAAATGTGGAATGAAACAAATGGGAAAGCCTAGAGCCCTGTTTGCTTGAAGATTCATGCTGCTTGGGGTGGGCAGCAGACCAGTAGAGTACTCAGAAATTTAACAGGAAAATCTGGAAATAAGATAGTCACAGAGAGACTAGATAAACACTCCACACATCTCTGTCTGACTGGGAGGCTGTGCTCACACACAGGCAGGTTCTGGGAGGATCCAGTGGAAAATAAAAGCTGACTTAAGAACCTGCCTGAGCTTTGAATTTGCTCCTCAGCCCACACTCAGATCCATAGGTAAGGGGTAGAAGCTTTACTGGTTCAGGTGCTTGAGTACGGTCTCTGACCAATCATTGGCTGAATATCAAGCTATGCAGACCAAGGGTAGTCCTTCTAAAGACAGGCAAAAACAAAACAAAACAAAACAAAACAAAAAAACGGAATAAGGGGGGGAAAAAAAGAAAAAGGAACTGAGCAGATGCATCAGTGAGGCACATTGCAGAGAGACAAATAACCACAAACTAAACCGAGGCAAGTTACTCAAAAGACAAAACCAAACCAAACCAAAACAGTAAAAATTCTCCGAGGAAAAAAATCAGAACCCAGAGTTGCTACAAAATATTACCTAAGAATTTCCAGTTTTCAACAAATTATTAACAATAATAAGAATGTAACAAGGACGACGATGATGGTGATGATGATGATGATGGCAGTGGTTATAACCACTATTTCCCAGGAACCTTCTGTGTTGGCACTGTGGTAGGTGTTCTTTTGCATCTCTTTTAATCTTCCCACCAAAGAAGGAGGAATTACCATGTCACACACAGGAAACTCGAGCCAGAGATGGCTCCGCAGAGTGACCCGAACCTTAATCTTAATATCTGGGGTCACGTGGGCCTGGGCTAGACTCCCAGCTCAGCTCCTTCCCGGCTCTGTGATTTTGGAAAGCTACATCATCTACAGAAGCTTTAATTTAATCGTCAGTGGAATGGGTATAATAAAAAGTTCCTACTTGAAGAAGTTGTTAAGGATTGGATGAGACATTGGGAAGAAAACATTCCGCACATTGCTTGGCACATAGTAAGTGTTTGGTTAGTGTCCAGTCACAGAGTGTTTGTAGTTGCAGACTCCAGCTACTACCCAGTGTAGAAGTCTCCCTCCCTTGAAATGTGAAGCCTTAACCACCCGAGCCTCATGTTATCACCAACAACACCATGCCAGCTAATGCCATGTTATCTCTACCTACTTCCATGTGTCCTTATCAGTTGGACTGTAAGGGCTCAGGACCAGGACTAGCCCTGCATTTCTCTGTATGGATACTCCATGATCGAACCTGGCACTTAACAGATACTCATTGAAAGTTTGTTGATTAATTAAATCTGAAGAAAGACGGTAGGCAAAGGGACAAAAGGTGGGAGAAGAAAACTAAAATAAAACTAGAGACATCTTAAAGACTAGTTTAATTTTAGAAAACATTGGTGCCAGATTTGGTCAGGAGGAAGTGAGAGGCAGGAACCGTATGAGGTGGACAGGAAGCAAAATAGCAAGGACAGGAATGGGGAAAAGAGGTATTGAAAGTGGTCCCATGCATTGAGGAAACATTTATATTTAGAGAGGCTGCTCTTGGGCAATGTTGAGTTTCCCCTTTTCTTGAATTCAATAAGATATTGAGGATTGAAATGAGATTCCAAAGCCCTGCTATTCCCAAGTGCCTTACCCAATAAAGCCTTATTGTTTCCAGATTATGGTGGTGGTTGATGGGGCTTTCCACTGATCACAGGCTGCTCATGTGCCCTGCTGGTCAGGAGAAAGCAGTGTGCAGCTGGGAATGTTAGTGGGCATGGGTCATGCAAGGCCAAGAAGCAATCCCCAACTCTGTCCTCCACCCTGGGCATGTCCTGACTCTAGCAAAATAGGTGAGGAGGAGTGAAGTGCTTTCCTCTTCTTCCATGTTCACCCTCAGAAATCCCACCCATCTTTTAAGGTTTGCTGCAAAGGATCCTTCTAGATGTCAGAACATCTAAATCTTCTAGATGTCAGAGCTGACCTGGCCATCCTCCATGTTCCACAGCACTGGTTTCTACTCTGTGATGGGGTTCACCCCAGACTGTTTCATGTGAGAGGAATGAGAAAGAAAAATTCTTCACCCTAGTCTGTGAACACCTTGAGGGCAAGGATCTTTCTTCTTCATCCTTATACTGCCTCAGGGGCTTCATCCACTGCCTGGTACCTGGTGCCTGACATATAAGAGATGCCCTGTACATTTTTATTGGTCCAGTTCTCTCTTTAGAGGGCTGGAAAAGAGCAGATGATGTAAAGGGCAGGGAGCCCAGATTAGATGCCCCACCGCAGTGTCCCTGTGGCACCCTGGACATCCTGCATCTTTTCAGCAATCATACAAGATTCTCTTGTATGTTTTAGACCCACACCCCCCCCAACCAGATCCTTGAGAGCAGAGATGGACTGACTTGGGCTCAAAGCAGGCACAGAGTGAGTGTAGAATGACTGTTAAATGGTGGAAACAACTTTGCAATGTCGTCCATTGACTTAGAGCCCGGCAGAGCTATTTCCTCTAGGAGTCATGGCTTTGCCCTTCAAACCCAGGAGCGAGTCCCTGGTGGCAGGACCTCACCTGCTCTCCTCAAACTCCCATCTGATTTCATTCATCTTCCGGACCAGATCCATGAGGATCTGCAAGAGTGGTTCCCAAACTTGTGCATTAGAATCTCCTGGAGGAGGTTTAAAAATTCCTGGTATCCAAGCTGCATTTCAGATCAACTAAATCAGAATGTTTGGGGTGGGTAAGAGTCTGGCATCAGTGATTTTTAGATTCCCAGGTGATCCCAAGGGCCTCTAAGTTTTGGAACCACTTGTTTGGGAGATATTCCAATAAACTGGAAAGGTAAATTAAGGACACCCATACCTCTGACACAACATAAATGGGGTAACCATCCTAGGACATTTATCAAAGAGCAAAGGATCTGCTGTGACAGCCGGAATTTACAGATCACTGGAGAAGTAGGCTCAGTTAGGCACCTCAGCATGGTTGCTTTCTTTTTCCTGTGTGCTTGTTCAGTCTTGTGATTGTTTCTTGCCATGTTTTTGCCCTCACCCGACCTTGAGCAACTGGAGAGGAGGACCCACGTCTTTATAAGCACACCAAGTGCCTGACCCGCAGTGGATGAGTGATGTGTTTGTGTAATAAGCATGTCCATGAGTTCATTCATTAGTTCATTGACTAATTCATTCACTTATGCAGGCACGCAGTCAACAAATGATAATAATGGCAGACAGAAGGTATAGCATGGGCAGAGAAGAGGATTTAATTAGGAGGAGTGAGAGAAAATATATAGATTCCATGAGGAGATAGAATCAAAAGTAGGGGAGTAAAAGCCAAAGAAGAAAAGAGAAAAGCGTACTCATTCATGTAATGCAGCCGTATGCATGTCAGGCTGGAAGAAGCTTATGTTTTTTTAATCAAATGGACTCAAAAGTTAGTTACCATCTATAAGTACTCTGTACTTTTTCTCCTATTTAGTCTATTAATCACAATAAAATCAATTAATTACTATGGTACTGTTTGCATAATGTCTTTTTCCTCCTCCAGGCTGTTAACTCCAGGAAGGCAGACCTTATGCATGGCACTCACCTCCATGTCCCCAGTGCCTAGCTCAGTATGACATACAATGGTGCTCAGCAAATATTTACCAAGTGACTCAGCAGATTGCTCATGGCTTCAGTTCTTTCTTCTATTAAAAAAAATCATAATATACTCATATCAAGGTTGTTATAAGGAATAATTAAGATAATAATAGATCTAAGTACCTGGTGCATGGTAAGCATTCAACAATTGTTAATTCATTATTATTATTAAGAAAGAGAAAATGCCTACTCTGTGCCAGCCTGTGCTAAATAATGGCCAAAAATAGACAACTGAAAGAGCAAAAGAATTGCACCTTTTAGAAAGAGTAAGGATTTGAGGACCCCAGTGTCACCACCTTTACAGCTCAAAGAGCCTCAGCAAACTCCAACCTCCACTCACAACACCCTCCCTGGCCGCCCCCACCTCCGTGACTCCTGGAACCACTAAGACTGTTCTTCCACTCCGCCACCACCAGATGGCAGCACAAAGCCCACTGACTGCGGGGGGGTGGGGGGGGTGGTGCCCAAAGCAGGCCCTAGATGGGTCCGCGCCCTGCACAGGGTCTCTATCTGAAACACTGGAGAAGGAGGGGACTAACCCTCTGGTCTTGATGTGCTGTTTGGGAGTTACAATCAGTGCTGTGGTATTGGCCTCTTCCTTTCAATTTTCAATCCTCAGATTCCAGCCTATTGCCCTGGGGTCACCTAAACACCTGGAGTGTCCTTATTCAGAATCCTTCCCAAAGCACCTTCCTTTCACCTTCATCCCACTACAGACCCCCATATTGCTTTTTGTGAAGGCTCAGAAAACCCTGTTTGGTCCTTAAGATGTGTCCCCAAAAAGTTCACCGCCTTATGCCTGTCACTCCTCACTATGGTTCGTGAGGCAGCGCCTGTCCTCTCTGCCTTTGCTCACATCATTCCTTGTCTGTTAATACCCACCCATCATGCTCATATTTGCTGCCCCTCTTTTCCTCTCACTCCTTGAAGACCCAGCCCAAAGCTCACCTCTAGGAAGTCTTCTAGTTTGACACTAGATTAGAGCTCTGTTGAGTGCCCCATCAGCACTTCCTTTCTTGGTAAGTGCTCTCTGGGTTTCAGGTTTGGTGGTTTGACCTGTTTGCATGATGCTTTACCAACAATCTCCAGGTGTTTCCTGTCACCCCAGTAGGGGAGGGCAAGAATAGGTCTTTCTCCTCAAAGGAAAACAAGTCCTTTTCCCCTCCTCTGGCCTGTGCCCTGCATTCATCAAGCCCTTAATCATCATGGATGAGTCGAAGAGAGAAAGAAGGTCTGTGAAGGGTGTGTGGGGGGGGGATGAGAGCAGAGGGTACCCTGGAGAGAAGCTTTGGGGAAACCATCCAGATCCCCTGTGAACCTGAGGCTCCTTGGTGAACAAGATGGGAAGGACACTATAGAAGCCAAAAGTCCCAGGGAAATTGGATTTTTATTCTTCTTGGAAATCTAGTGCCTTCTGAGACTTACTAAGAAAACATAATCTCCTCTTTCATTCGTTCATTTTTTCAGATCAATGTTTTGAGCACTGACTGGTCTGTAGGTATTAGGAACACAAAGATAAGACCCAGTGCCTGTCCTCAAAACCCTCAAAGCCTAATGGGGACACAGGCTAGTGAACAGCCAGTTACTGTGGAGCAGGAGAAGTGCCACGAGGGAAGAAAGTGCAGGGTGCTGTGGGAGCCCAGAAAGGGAGGGGCTAAGGGAGGCCATGGAAGGTTCCGGAATCAGTGACTAGGAGTTGAGCACCAAAGGGCCAGTAGGAGCTAGTTAGCCATGGGAAGAATTAGGAAGAGGAATCAGCACTTGTGAAACCATGAGGGGAGACAATACGGAAGGTCCAGGGATCTATAAGCAATTCATTATGACCAGAGCATCCCGTACAGGAAATCACGGAGAGGCACATGGAGAGGGTAGCAGGAGCCAGATATCACAGTGTCAGTCTGGAAGGTTCTGCAAAGGCTATTTGGGCTTTTCGTTGGAGGTAGATAGCCTGGAGAGATTTTAAGCAGGAGGGTGACATGTTTGGATTTTCCTGTTAAGGACATTCGCTCTGGCTGCTGAGAGACAGATGGGAGTGAGTGGTGCAGGGGGTGGGAAGGCCAGAGGGAAAGTTATTGCTTGTCCCCGCAGACACCATGTGGGCATGACCTGGTAAGAGATACTGCAGCAGTGGGGTCACAGGCTCAGTGACCTGGGTGGACCTTGCAGAGTCTGAGGGGTCCATGGCAGGCCTGAGGGGTGAATGCAGTGGGATTTAGAGATCTCCTGGAGCTCAGGAGACATCTGGGGCTGGATCCCCAGGGAGATCTGGAGTCTGCATGGATGAGGCCTCCAACATGGATGAGATGACACTAGGGGCAGGGTTGCAGAAGAGAGGGAAACGGGGACATTTAGGGACCTGGAGGAGAAGGAGGAGCCACCAGGGAAACGGAGAAGGCAGGTCCAGAGATTCGGAAGGTAAGCTGGGGGCAGTGATAATGGAGAAGTCCCAATAGAGGTAGGCAGCAAAGTCAAAAGCAGCTGAGCTCAGGCATTTGGAGTTAGCAACATGGAGGTGGTGGTTTCAGTGGGCAGTGTGGGGCAGAGGCCTAGGCCATGGGCCAAGGGGGGAGTGGGATATGAGGAGGCAGGGAAGAGGACTCTGAGCTACCCTTGGAAGAAATCTGAATATAAAAGAAAAATTAAAATGGCAGTGATAGAAGGAGATGTCAGAGTAAAGAAGAGTCTTGTTTGTTTGAGGCCTTTTGGTTCGGGATGGAAGAAATATACGGAGGGAAATGGCTACAGAATGAGCAGTTAAGCATGCAGGAGAAGTAAGGGAAGAGAATTCCCAGAGGGAGGATGGTGGAGCACAGATGGAGGGAGAACCATCAGGTAGGGCTTGGAGCACTTGTTTGATGAGAGAGAGGGAGGTGGGCTTTGCTGAGAGCCAGGCTGTGTGGAGTCTGGTCTCAGGAGCTGGAGCAGAAAGCTGTTCGCTGAGGCCGACTGAGCTCTGTCCTGAGCGCTGTGGGAGGGAAGGACGGGGCAGTACTCTTATCCTCATGGTTCTGCCACTTTTTCCATCCGGACTCTGTAGTCTGGGGAAAGGAGTCAGGAAGGCACCGTAGTCTCCATCCAGTTCCGGGGTGTGATTTGCTGGGGAGGGAGAATGACAGCAGTACAATGAGGGTTCTTAGAGTTGAAAATACAGCCAGAAAGTACTTAAAGCAACGAGCAAGGGTTCTGGGCCACCTATTAGCCCGAGTGAAGAGAGGAGGAGGGGAATAGGCTGGGGGAATAGAGAATGATCAAAGGTGAAGGTATTGATAAGGTGTCCAAGCCAAGCAGAGGGAGTTGGGAGAGCTTGAGGGCTGGGTGAGATGGGGTGTTGGAGTTTAAAACTCCCAAGAAGCAGCAGGTCTCATCAAAGTCCTGGATGTGACCCTGGGTGGGGAGTCCGAGTGGAATCAGAATTTGGGATCCTGGAGTGGAAGAGGGAGAGGTGCTGGATGGACAGAGCACAGGAGCCTGATGTCAAGATGATGCCCAGACTTGAGGGGAAGGCTTCGGGCCAGGAGCCAAGGCTTTCCATGACTGGAGAGAGACTGGGTTGTTGACAGGCACCGAAGGAGGAGGGGAAGCTGGTGCTGCAGCCAGGTCCCAGGAGCTTCACTAGAGCAGAGGTTTTTTTTTACTTTAAATTTTTATTGTTATGTTAATCACCATACATTACATCATTAGTTTTTGATGTAGTGTTCCATGATTTATTGTTTGTGCATAACACCCAGTGCTCCACGCAGAATGTGCCCTCTTTCATACCCATCACCAGGCTAACCCATCCCCGCACCCCCCTCCGCTCTAGAACCCTCAGTTTGTTTTTTAGAGTCCATCGTCTCTCATGGTTCATCTCCCCCTCCGATTTACTCCCCTTCATTCTTCCCCTCCTGCTATCTTCTTCTTCTTTTTTTTTCTTAACGTATATTGCATTATTTGTTTCAGAGGTACAGATCTGTGATTCAACAGTCTTGCACAATTCACAGTGTAGAGCAGAGGTTTTTATAGGAGGGCAGGGGGTAGTGGCTCTGAGAAGAGGGGCATGGAGGACAATGAACCATCGCTATCTGAAAGGGCTGCAGACTCCGTGGCCGCAGGCGAGAGTGAGATTTCCTTAAGGTGAGGAGTGCAGGTGGTGCTGGATCTAGCCCCAGCCTCAGGCCAGCTGAGATACAGTGGTTTGCCTGAGTACAGGCAGCTAGAAAGTGGCTGAGACAAATTTAAAATTGACCAAATGTGTGTATTCACTTACTTTTCCTACCTGCCCAAGCTGCCCATTTGTACAGCTGTTTTGGCGCATTGCAAGCTTGGTCTGCAGGTCCTTTTATTCTGGCTGAATTTGTAATATGTATTTACCATGTGACCTTGGGAAATTCATGACATGCTCTGTGGACCTCGTACAATGTGGGGTTGAACCAGGGGTCAATGTCATGTCATTAGAGCTCCAGTGACTCAGTGGAGGAGGCTAAGGGGCCCCCGGGGGCAGGATTGCAGGGAGTCTGAGTGGGGGTGGGCTCCTGGCGCCACCCTGGTGTCCACCCGAGCAGCTACCCTTGGATCTGCCTGAATACTGTGGTTCTGCATGAGATTTTTGTTTGGAGGGAGGATTCAGCTGTCCAAAATAATGTTAAAATCTGTGGTCTCACTTGGCCCTTACCCTGCATGAGCCTTTCACTGTTGTGTGCTATAGGGCATGTCCTTGGTCATGCGTCTTTATCTGTGGGCCCCTGTCAGTTTGAGTGTTAAGGACTTGGTGGGCAACTGGACAGCTCCAGGACCTCTCTGCACCGAGCTCACTGAAAAAACAGCGCTCTTCTGTGGTGGTCGTGATACCCTTCCAGAAATCTGATTTTACTAAAGTAGTTGTGATGGGCTGAGGGCTCGAGTGCAACACAGTAACTTCGATGATGAATTACATCCTGAGTCTAGCAAGTGGGACAAACAGGTCCTGTAGCCAAGGGACAAAGCCTGGACCTGTTTTTCGTCACCTCACACCAGCTGGAATCCCTTGTCGCTGGGCTGGCAGCTGTGAGGGATCACTTGGCCACCAGGAAACCTTCCCAGCTGGGACCTTTGTGAGAGTCTGTGCCAGAGAAATGACATCTGTGAGTCACTGCTCAGGGGAAAACCCAGCTGCTCTGCTCCATCCCGGCCCCAGTGGCCATGGGAAGGGCCAGCAGGCAGAGCAAGGGTAGAAGATAGGCCACTTTGCTTTTCTTAGTTTTCACAGCAGCTTGCCAGATTTGCATTTCCCCATTTCAGAAGGGAAGTTGGGAGGTGGGACTAGAAGCAAAGAGGCCCCCTCCCTGTGGCAGATGGGAAAGCCCACAGCTACTGAGTGTGGAGGGTTTGGGCTGAGCTGTTGGAATTATTTCTCGGACCCACTGGGTTCTCACCATGGACGCACCCCCTTTGTTTCTGACCATAGGTGGTGACAGCCAAGCTTTTAGACTGCACGTGGTATGCTCTGGGCAGTGAGTGTCAGGAAATGGGGGTGAATCTTACAATGGGCATGCTGAATCATGTTAATGTCCCCTCAGATATCAGGATAGGGGAACTGGGAAGGAGGGTGAGGTTTGTTTCACAACACAGAGGGATGGATTCTTGGTGCCATGCGCAGTCTTCTCTGGAAGGAAGGTCAGCCAGGTGTGGGCCTGATAGCCGTAGGTGTTAGCTTGCTAACCCTGGAGCAGTCCCTGCAAGGACTGGGGTGATTCTTTGGACCATGGTGGGAAGCGCTGGTGACTGGGGATGTCACTCCCCACAACAGGGGCAATGACCTCGGAGACTGAGAAGCCCTTCACGGGTGAGAGGGACCAGAGTCTCTTCACTTAGCCTGAGGCAAATCCTCAGCTCCCAACAAGCCAAGTGGTCTTGGGTTCCATTCTTGGGCAAGTCTTTGTGGGGCAGGGAGCCTGCCTTGCTCTACATGGCACACACAGACCTCAAATATAAGGCTCAGTTCCAAGCAGTGGATTTGGGGAGTCCTGTGAGCAGGTGGGAATGTGCCTGGGCCATGCCTGGAGGAACAGCCAGCATGGCCAAGGTCTTGCAAACCAACCAGGAGGGGAATGCTTGAAGCTGTTGGGGATGTTTAGTCTAGAGAAGAGGACAGGAGAATAGTGTTTTGGAACGCTTGTTGCTTCAGATGGCAGAACTGAGGCCAGCAGATGGAAATAACAGGAAGAAAAGTGGCAAATCACCAGACATAGACCTATCTAATCATTATAACGCAGT